CGCCCTTCAGGTGGTGAGCACGAGGGACGAGCAGCTCCTGGCCGAGGTGTGTCGCGAGGCCGCCATGTTCAGCGGTCCTCCCCATCCGCACCTGGTCTCCGCTCTCGGCCTCTGCACTTCCCACACGCCGCATCTGCTCGTGACTCAGTACACCGATTGGGTGGGTTTTACTTGCAAATGTATTTTGAGTGAATAGTGAATGAATTTCACTGGTCACTTGTATTGATATTAATGTAGTATACTAGTTAATATGTCAGTTCTTCTTCATACTTTTTAAATGTTTAGAATAAATAAGAATAGAGTTATATGAATAAGTTACACTGATCCTCTGCACTGAAGAGGAAGCATGTTAGACTCAGTGAGATAGATAGAGACGTCTGCGCCTTTGCCTCCAGGGTGACCTGAAGCAATTCCTGCTGGCCACGAGAAAGGAGTCCCCGCGTCCCCTGGGCAGCCTGCGTCCGCCGCCCTTGACCTACCAGCAGTGTCTCAGCTTAGCTTTGCAGGTCAGCTTTTGTATTTCAAGTTCCCTTAGACATGATTCCTGTCCTAGGGAGGGTGTCCGCCTCTGTAAACAAGCGATATATCTATACTTCTGAAGAATGAATGCCTTAGCACAGTGCTTTTAACAAGATTTATGCTTCCGGAGTTGAAAGCCGTGTCCCCGTTCGCCTTCCGCAGGTCGCCGAGGCCCTGGAGTATCTGAGCGGGAGGCGACACACCCACAAGGACATCGCCGCGAGGAACTGCCTCATCACCTCCAAGCTGCAGGTGAAGCTGGCTGCTCCGGCCCTCACCCGGGACGCCTACCAGGCCGAATACTGCACCTACAGGAACCAGGTAGGCGGAGCTGCGAAGTGACATCGGCTGGAGTTGAGAAGGAGTGAATAATGTGAAGGAGTGAATGGCGAAAAGGAGTAAATGATGAGGAATAAATGACAACAAACGAGTGAATGATGAGAAGGAATGTATGATGTGAAGAAGCGAATGATTATTTATCGAAAATGTGTGACTGGCTGACGCTCCACAGGTGCTGCCGGTGAGATGGCTGGCTCCTGAGGCTCTTCTCGAGGACGAGTACAGCATGAAGAGCTCCGTGTTCTCGTGGGCGTGGCTCGCGTGGGAGATCCTCACGCAGGCGACTCTTCCACACTCGACCATCACAGCAGGTGAGATATACAAAAAGAAATAGAATAAGGAAGAGAAAGAAAAGAAAGAAATAAATAAAGAAAAAATAATAATATATATGTGAAACAATCAGTGAACTTTAGCTGTTAAACGAGACAAGTCCAAGTCTACTGACAGTAAATTTTACCTCTAAGCTTTAGCACGAACTGATGTTAAACAAATACGTCAGCTGAACCCACACCAACAGAATAAAAAGCTCCCAGGCAGAGGTCTCCTTCACAGCCCTTACTAACGCAGCCATGCCCTCCCTCGCAGGTGATGACAGGCGCCCAAAACGGAGACCTCCAGTGCTCGCCGCCCCCAGGAACGCCGTCGGACCTCGGGAACCTCCTGTCCTCGTGCTGGCAGCAGTCCCCGAAGGCTCGACCCGCCATCCAGTCCGTGGTCGAGACGCTGAAGACCCTCTCCTGAAGTCCTGCAGGAGGGGAAGAAAGGGGAACGCCCTGACTGCCACAACCTGAGACGACTTCCTTCAAATGTGATCTTAGAAACTGAGGCCAAAAGTCTTTAGCTCGACGCTTTGCTCTACCAAGGGGACCAATGAAGTCTTGGCCACGGCGGGTGGGAGATGAAGTCACGTTCAGAGCTGGGTGGAGATGACGAAGAAGGAAACGACGATGGTGGTGAATAGGATGAAGGAGGAGGAAAAAGGAGAAGAAAGAGGAGGAGTAGGAGGAGAAGAAGACGAAACAGAAGAAGAAGAGGTGTAAAAGAAGGAGAAGGATGGAATGAAATCACGTGATAATCATCATGACTGCGAAGAAACGTGAAAAGGAGACTGAATAAGAGTAGCAAGAAAACGAAGATTAATGATAAGAAAAGGAAACAGGGAGAGGAGAGTTGAGTGTAGAGAAGAAAGTAAAGAGAGAAGGAGAGAGAGAGAGAGAGAGAGAGAGAGAGAGAGAGAGAGAGAGAGAGAGAGAGCGAGGAGAGAGAGAGAGAGATAGAAGAGAGAGAGAGAGAGAGAGAGAGAAAGAGAAAGAAAGAAAGAGAGAGAGAAGAAAGAAAGAAAGAAAGAGAAGAGAGAGAGGAACAAATATTCCAAAATCGATCAGAGAAAAGTATTCACCAAAACTGGTCCAATGAAAAGCGAAAACAACTGAAAGTCGGCAGCAATTAACTCTTTTCACGAAATCGCTGGAATTTCCGAACTGGAAGCAAAGGGGCTCAAAGTTTTCCAGTATCGGCTTATTTGCATATCACTGAATACCTTCGCAGCGAGAGAAGAAAACAAAGAAAAAAGAAAGAAAAAGAAAATGGAAAATAAGATAAATACAATTTCCTGGATTCTTTCGTGCTTAATCATGCTGATAAGATATTATTTTGTTTTGTGATATCTATAGGCTTAGTCATAGAATATGTACATAATGATTTTCAAATGCCTTCTAATCAACCATCATGGCAGACGCTATTCTATGCCTCTGTCATTTCCTGTTTCCTTCTCTCAGCTTAAAACATTCCCTTGAATTGACGTACAGCGAAAGAGAGAAGAAAAAGCTACCCAGTGATTTTCAAAAAATGTTATTATATTTTTTATTGTTATTCAAACTAGGGTCCAGAGCAGTAACGTTTTAGAGATGTAGGGAATACTGTGTACATTTCATTTCACCTGCATGTGATCTTGCATTGCTCAATACTACGTATTGTATACACGGTGATACGAACTCTTTATCAATTCCATGTCGTAAAGAGGGAGAAAAGATTTAGGAAATTTTGAAAAAAAAAAAAAAAAATGTAAAACGTCATTCCCAAAATTGCTGCATCAAACATATGAACTTTTATTTTCTCGATCAAATTTGGCTTTGCTTCGTCGCGTTTCGTTCCCGGCCGAATCATTTTGACAACTTCAGAGCATTTTGTACATGATTTGCTTATTTGTGCAGCTTTCCTTTTTTTCTCCGGAAGTCTGTGTATATATTTGATCATTGTCAGGTAATAAATGTGCTTGTTCCATGAAAGTCGGCGAGACAGCCCGTGTGAAAATGTGTCTTTAAGCTCAACATTAAAAGTGTATTATATATTTTCGTTTGGCTTGCCATGTATATTTTTTACAATAAATTGTTTCTGTGTGATATTCCGGGAGTGGTTCTTTGTCCCTTCGTGGCCGCTTGTTTCCGGAGCTGAAAAAGGGCGTTTTTATGCTAAATTCTGCCAAATGCATCATAGTCGATGTTATTACCATTCATGCCATCATAGGGTACTGATTTCACTTCCTGACAGCATATAGTCAGGTCATCCTTCGATACTTGCAAGAAAAGAACATAAAACTATCACAGTTTATTTTATATTAGAATGTTATACAATAATTATTCTACTATACAGCTGTACAAGCACTTTGTTAGTCGTTATATAGCGGGCCCGAGGCCGGCGGTTGGCAGACTCCAGTGACAAGGATAGTTAGAACAGAATGCCCAACGGCGGCAACTATCCGTGGCACGGCCGAGTCTCGACCAGGATGCTCAGTGCCCGAGGAGACAACAGGAAAACAGAGCCGCTAAATGTCCAGGATGCCGTTTATCCCTTCATCCTTCCGCGAGACGAAGAGAAAACCAGATCATCCTCTGAAAAAAGTTGCTTCCCTTTCACCCTCTGACGGTGCTAGCGGCTCCGTTTCCCCCTTCGCGAGTGGGCGGGGCACGTGGTCAGCCTGGAGGCAACATTAGGAGCGGAGGCAACAGAGACACAAAAGATTCGACGCTGAGAGGTTCCTCAGAGTTGTACCATCACCCAAGTAGCAGTAAAAAGAACAGTCAGTAGTACATATCATATGTGAGTGATAAACTGATTATAGATTATTCAATACAGTTGAAATCTTATCACTATAATAATGCAGAAAGTTTGGCGGACGTGAGCCAACAGGTGGTCTAGGACGGCCATACTGTGCTGTATGGCGAAGACTGAGAAGAAGCAGAATCACATACAAAAAAATGTTATCGAAGATGAGTATTCAAAAAAGATTTTCTAGATTTATAAAAAGCAGTAGACTCAAGGATTTCTTTTTAACGAAGAGGAAGCGCTTTATTTTGCACTTTAAAGATTATGACACATCTTAGAAAATCCTTTGACGACACACTCATTCGTGGCACAAAATACGATGAGTTATCAAATTAAAATGATTATAACGTGACATCATTACTACTTGTCATCGTTATATATATATCTATTTCATCTGCAACTTCTACAGAACACTTCAAAATGCAAATGTAGGTACATCATCACTTTCTAGAACAAAAAACATAAATACTCCAGTTCACAGGCCTGACTTGCAGACGCAGAACGAACACAATACAATACCTAATTCTTTTGGCAAAGGCGCACCACAGACAACGGCGCACCCTAATTAATGAGCAATATTTTGATATAGCTGATAGTTCCTTAAGGACAATTGACGAAATTTAAAGCTTCAACATAATTCTACAAGAGCTCGCACGCATCGATTTTTTCTTCTTCTTGACTTTGACAAAAGTGACTTGGATCAACAGGAACCAAAAGGGGAATTTTCCACTTTGTCGTGTCGATCAACAAAGATTTTTTTTTTTGCAACTGACGGACGAAACGACACTAAATGCTACGTGAGTCTTCGTTTCGAGGACTTAGTGGTAGAAGAGCAGCAGGAGGGCGGACGCGACGACGAAGAGGGCGCTGGGGACGTGCGTGTGGCCGGCGCTGAAGAAGATGAAGCTCGGCTCGTCCCCCGAAGACTGGATCAGCAGCGGCTCCTCGGGCACGGGGGCGGAGCTGCCAGGGTCAATGGAGCGGCTGGGCAGGCTTCCACTCGAGACTCCCTGAGTGGCCTTGGCGATCGCGTGCCC